ACGCACGTTCATACAGTATATGTCATGTTGGATGTCAGTAAACCATCAATGATATAAGAACAGGGGAGTCTTTTAGTTTCATGATAACGAATCCTCTGTCTTTCCTGACCCCATGATTGTGGGGAAATTCAGACTTTCTGGTGACCCACCTTCATAGTCACGTGTAAAGTGTCATCAAGCCAACTGCTATAGCCACACACTAAAACAAGTCAGATCACCCAGTCTATGTTTGTGCCTCAGTGGCACTCTTAAGAGCTATCCTTATTTTGATAACGTGCTCCTCAGACTGAAAACTTAACCACCACCAAACCCAATAAATTAGACAAATGTCTTCAGGAGATAGTTGTTTTAGGATGGTAAATTGCTCAGCTATACCTTGATAATTTGCTGAAATGTTACTATTACCATTAAGGCAAATTGCAAAGGAAGTAACAGCAGTGGCTTCCTCAGTGGGAATAAAAAATTAACAAAAACTCACAAACATAGAATACTGCTGGAATTGAGCAAAGTCACGACAATGAGTATGTCCCACCTTGTGTCAGTCTGACCCTCAGATGTCTGACAGTAAACTGTTAATCTGTAGCCAATTGTAAAGGACATGTCTAGTGTAGAAGAAAGTAGTTTAGTTTTATTTCCCTATCGGTTGTGTATCTTGATTTAAGTGTCTGCCGTTCAAGCTTTGTTAGGATAAACTATTTTACATTGATTGATCTCTGTGTGCAAAGCCTTTTATTGTGAGGAAAGCCCTGGTCAGCTGTGAGGAGTAACAGCTTAGCTATCATACAAACCCAAATTGTTCCAGAATCACAGCCTCGCTCCTATTTTGGCTCTTACCATAGCAGTGTACAAAAAACTAGACATGTATGTAAATCCACTCAGAAAGACCTGGAAGTGAGTAAGAAGTTAGTCTCTCAAACTCTCCTCCTGGTGCTGACACAGAATGCACATCTTAGGTGCTGGTAGTTTTGAATGTCTCTTCTCCTTCCTCAGAGAAATAACCCAGCACACACCTTTTGTTTAGGCTGTTTTCTCCCGTAACCCAGTATGTAATCCTGGCCAGAAACTCACTCTGGTCAGAGAGAATTATACGGCTTTGTTATGAACTTCTGTCTCCACTGGGCGGACAATAAAACTCATCTGAGCCACTATAAATGCTTTTGAGGCAACAGAAGTGGTCAAATAATGGAGAATGACAAAGAAAGGCTCGATCTGAAGAGGGACGCAGGGATTATAGGAGCTGTGTCGTTCATTGGCACCATTATAGGATGTGGGGTTTTCTCCCCAGTATGTGCTGACCACTATTTGCAGCCCTGGGGCCAGCCTTATTATGTTGGCTTGCTGTGGGTTGATAGCCATGCTGGGGGAACTCAGATATGCTGAACTATGCACAGTCATACCAGAGTCTGGAGGATATATATATCTATAATCTGTTTATAGTTTGCCTGCAGTTTTATGGTTGTCGTGAGGCCTTTTTTCACAATTACCTTTCATGATCAATAGTCTCTCGCTTTACTACATATTACACTTTACTATAAATTATCATGTGATCAAGAAGACGGAAAGATAATATACTTGTGCAATTTGCAGTGCAGTCTGAGAAACACGTTGGTGCAATAAAAAAAGAATACCAGAGCATCTTAATCAGCCACTGTTTTGCCTTCTTCCCTGATTGAATTTTAAAAAGACTTACAGTGGTATTGCTATTTTTACTGAAGGATCTCAATACTTCTTCCTTCACTGCTTGAACTGAACTGATACACTCTCTGTGGAGGAGGCAGAGTTAAAGGAAGCCATACCCATTTCCCTAGCGATGATCTCTAATACATCAGAGAAAAAGGGTCTGGGGATCTCTCTTGCAGAGAGGTACCAGGGGTCTATGACATTAACGCTGACATGCTAAAGCTATAAATATTGCTAGGCTGTCTTGGATGACACTTTTTAATGCCTCAAGGAGGGGGCGGGGCCTGGCAGGTATAACACTGCTCAGTCTTCACTAAAATAACAAGAAAGCTTATTCCAGGGTACTGGAAAACATTGTAAAGCTTCAGATTCTGGAGGACCAATGCGGATTCTGTCCTGGCCACAGACTAGTGGAGCAGCTCTTTATTCTTGACAGTATTCTGTAGAGGTCGTGGGAGTTTAGCCTTTCAGTCTCCATGTGTTTTGTGGACATGAAGTGGGCTTACAACTGTGTCCTTTGGGGTGTCTTGACTGGGGCACTGTAGGAATGCAAAGTGCCAGGGCCATTGCTACATTCCGTCTGGTCCTCTGTAGTGAGAGCTGTTTCCATATTAATGGCAAGAAGGTAATGCATACCCTGGGGATGTTGAATTAAGCCATACTTTTGCATTACCCCTGGTTCTGTTTGTTATTTACATGGACAGAATCTCTTGGCACAGTCACGTAGCAAATAGTGCCTGGTTCAGTGATCTCAGGATTCCATCTCTTCTTTTTGCAGATCATGTAGTTCTCCTGGCTTAATCAGGTGGTAATCTCTGAGTCAGGATGAAGTATAAGAGTAAGTTACTCCAAAGCGCTTCAGTCTCAAGCTTTCAAACACAGTTTTAGTCTGAACATTAATGGTATCAGTTTGAAGTGAAGTGGCAGAATGTCTGAACCCATACTTCACATCAGTTGCAAACAGTCTGGTATAAGTACAGAGCTTTTATCCTCAAGCTCTCTCTGAAGCCCGCCACATAAAAAAAGAGCCAAAAATGTTTGCATCATATTTGATACTCAGGCATTTATAGCAATGTGTTGATACATTGCATTTGGAACATTTGAATGTTTGTTTTTTTTCAAATAGGAACTGTTTTACAACTTTTTCATTCTGCCTTATGGTAGGCAAAAAAACAGTTTGCTCAATATAACACAGATTATGATGATATAATAATAATAATAATAATAATAATTTTAATGAAAATCAATGAGGAAAAGATTATTATTATTAGTAAGCGAGCCATTACAACATCCAAGTGCTTATTTCGAGAGCAGGTTAAAAAAAACATCCATTTCCACTGTAACGATATCTTAAAATGGCATTAAACTCTTTAAGTAGTTTAATTAAGACTGCATCATGAAGTACAATGACAATTGAGGGATTTACAGGCAAATCACCTTTTAATACCTTAATATTTTCACCACAATTTTATCATAAAATAGTACAAAAGTACAAAATATTAAGTAATTATAAGTTGCTTTAATACAGTAAATATGTATATTGAAATATTTGTAACAATATAGCGTAACTTAAAAAAAATTTGCAAATCACTACATGAAGGCAACCATTTTGGATTTGGCACTCAAAAGGCCCCCACTTTATGAGGTGCACAAACAATCCACCAGAGGGCAGAAGACAGGCATGGTGATGACAGATCTCAGAAACTCCCCCTTAATCCCCCTAAAAATCATTAGCTTTTTATTTCACCATTGGAATTCCCAAATAAAAAAGGCTTGAAATAGAAGAACTGCCAAAGAGCATGTATGACAACTAATTTGAAAGGCAACATGCTCTAGTTCGTGAAAATTTGCTCATTTAGTACGGGGCTAAAACACAGCCTCCACTACATCTGCCTTGAAAACTACTACAACGGAAACCATGTTGATTAACTTGGTTTTTGTCTTGCCCATGCTTAATGGCCTTACAACTATATAAACCTACATACATGCATGTACACTACATCTGCCGTAAAATATTAGACGTCTGACCTAAACTAATCAGAAATCAGAAAATTCTTTGTTTATTGCCAAGTAGGTTTTTTACGACTACTAGGAATGTTACCGTTGGTGCAGTTGGTCAATAAAATATACACCATTATACAAACAAATAAAACAAATATACAATTATCTTTAACTCCCAACAAAAATCACACAGAAAAATAAAGTACTTTCAAAATATAAATAGATAAAGATAAGAAAGATAAGAAGAGAAAGCTGTGCAGAAGAATGTGGGTGCATTATGGGAGCTAGTTTTTAGTTTGTAGTGTCACTGGCATCCCTAAACCTTAACCCTGATCTGGTGCACTGTGGATCTGGTGGATTTTAACACAGGTTAAGAGACAAGAAGGTAATGATCAAAGTCAAACACCACACCTTGGTTTAGTGGCTATTGAAGGGTGATTTCACTCTCAACTGTGGACACGGCTCTAAAATTACCCAACAGTTAGCAGTTAATCTACAGCCAGTTCAATGAAAACATGAGCACACATGCCTAGTGTGTCCTCCGAAAACCTTTGAGGAAGCAGCAGCTCTCGAACAATGGAGAGTGACAAACAGGGACTCAACCTGAAGAGGGAAGTGGGGATTATAGGAGCTGTGTCATTCATTGCTGGAACCATGATGGGATCTGGGATATTCATATCCCCCCAGTATGTGCTATCCACTATTGGCAGCCCTGGGGCCAGCCTTATTATATGGGCCTGCTGTGGGTTGATAGCCATGCTGGGGGGACTCTGCTATGCTGAACTGGGCACAGTCATACCAGAGTCTGGAGCAGAGTATATCTACATTATGCGGACGGCAGGGAAAGTGGTGGCTTTCATGTTTGTCTTCAGCTTCGTCATTGTCGTGAGACCTGCCAGTGCCACAGGAATTGCTCTGAGCTTTGCTGAATATGTTGTGGCCCCCTTTTACGAGTGCACCCCTCCACAACTGGTGGTGAAGTGCGTGGCTGCAGGAAGTATCATGGTGCTCGCCATTGTTAACTGTCTGAGTGTCCGCTTGGCCACCACCATCCAGGTGGTTTCCATGGCAGTCAAAGTGCTGGCAATGGCAGTGATCATACTGGGAGGTGTTGTGATGCTTTTCCAGGGACACACTGAGAACTTTGATAACTCTTTTGAGGGAACAAATGTTGGTGTCAGTTCAATTGGCATTGCTTTCTATCAGGGCTTGTGGTCCTATGATGGCTGGAACACTTTGAATTATTTAACTGAAGAGCTGAAGGATCCCGAAGTAAGAGTTTCACTGTTTACTATTCAGAAATCATTATGTTCTTAGCAAACATTAAATTGAGGGATTATATTCTTTTTGTCAAGTATGTTTTATTGAGGAAGACTGTACATCTGCAATCAAGATCATGCATCATTCATTGTTTATTGATGTTTTTGGGCAATCAATCAGTCTGAACAAAACAAGAAATTCAAATTGCCCAGGACCACTATCTTCCCTATCCCTATCTTCTCCCACTTATTAAAGATGATACATCCAATATCAACCTGTTATCTCAGTGTTTACAAGTCAAGTCATAAAATAATAAAGAAAATATTTAAGGTTTGAAAAAAAGCAAATTACACAATGAAGTGCTGAGGTTAGTTAGTTTGAAAACATAATAAAGCTGCCATTGCTGTGTGATACAACAATGATTATCTCCTGACAAGGGATTACATGACAAGTTAAAATGTAAGCTTAGAATCAAGATCAGATGTATTGTTGAATATACAACCACAGCCAAGTTAATATTACATTCAAGCAACTTATATGTGACAGTTTTTACTACCTCCTCTTCATTTACTGTTATATATAGTCTACAGGTGTGTGCCAGCGTCTTTATCTGCGTATCTCGTCTGTGAGAGCATAACAACTACACTATCTTCATTTTACACTTTCTGATCTACGTGGCCATGGCGGACAAAGAACCTGAAGCCCTGAAAATGAAGCGGGAAATTGGGTTGATAGGCGGCGTAGCACTAGTTTCAGGGACTATGATCGGATCTGGTATATTCATGTCCCCACAGTTTGTGCTGGCCTTCGTGGGAAGCCCGGGAGCAAGTCTGGTGATCTGGGCTCTCTCAGGAGTTGTAGCTATGTTTGCAGCGCTGTCCTATACTGAGCTCGGGACGATCATTCCTGAATCTGGTGGGGACTTCATCTACATACTGAGGATCTATGGTTCATGTCCTGCCTTTTTTGCAGCATTCACTTTTATCCTGGTTGTGAAGCCGTTCAGCATGGCGGCAATGGCAATTAGCATTGCAGAGTATGTTATAGCACCTTTTTACCCAGACTGCCATGCTCCTCAGCTGGTAGTGAAGTGTGCTGCAGCTGTGACTATACTGGTTGTTGCCATAGCCAACATCTTGAATGTCCGAGCTGCCATCAGAATCCAAGTGGTCTTCTTGGTGGCAAAGGTGCTCACTTTGACTTTAATTGTAATTGGAGGGATAGTGGAGCTCATACAGAGCAGCAGTGTCATTGTGGAAAGTTTAAAAGTTGAGAATGCATTTAAAGGCACTCAGTACTCTTTGAGCACTCTAGGAATGGCTTTTTTTCAAGGACTCTGGTCTTATGCTGGCTGGTACAACCTGAACTATGTCACCGAGGAGCTAAAAAGACCAGAGGTGAAAATGCATATATAATATGTATTATTGTGTATTATATATTTTATTCAAATACAATAGTGCCTGTAATCACCAGATAGATGATGAGCGTTACTTTATAACTTCTTAATCTTCTTACCAATTTATAGACTGTATGCCAGTTCAGAACTGATTAAAGGTTTTTGTATAGACCAATAATCAAACTGTGAGAGGTGTCGGTGCTAAGTTACATAAAGACACTCAAGGTTTGTTTTTATAGCTGCAATTGTGCTCTTATCTATCTGTGACAAAGGTGTTTGCCTGCCAGTGTTGTTATCAAGTGCACAGTAAATACAAAATGTAACATCACAGAACCAGGTGGCCGATCACAGAATATTGTTTGGCATAAAAAGTAGGTCACAATCACGGCTGGCTAGTTTGGTAGTTACTGTTTTTTTTAATTCACTGAAGTCTTGGCTGTATTTCTGTTATGGATATCAATTGCAAATTGTTAGAAATAAATGGAAAAACTTTGGCCAGTTTGATCTACTTGCCAAAAGTTGAAAAAACAACATTCCAAGTTAATTACAAACATCTTTCCTCATAGAAAATGTATTTAGCTGATATATATATCGTCATGAAGTAGAGTTTAACTGATTTTCTGTTTAGTGGAGATGTGATGACAATGTGAACCTTGCTGTGGAAATTCAAATGAAATGTAATGTAAATCATTTTCCAGCTATTGACAATGGTTAAGCCTTTTGAAAGATAAGATAAGATTTGTTTAGACAGTTCAAACAGATTCATTGTTGGGAGGACTACAACATTTGTGCTTGATAATGGGATGCTCAATGTCTTTTGAGACAGTTTGAACACTTCATGCTTTTAGATTTTATTCTTGAGGGTTTGGAGGGCAATCCTAGACCTATGGTGAATGATCTTCATAGCTGACAGATCCTGAATGTGTCATTTTGAGTTTGGAAAATAGTTTGTTCTTTTAATTAATCATTGTTATAGTCAAGTAACCACTCCAACAACTTTGCAAGCTAGATTCATGCATTTTGAAAATTTTTCTGCTTTCCATCTTCATTTGGAAATGTTTGTACAAAATTTGGGGCCAAAATTTCAACAATTTGTATAACTGTATATAAACAGTGTAAGTGCATGTTTTCATCCTGTAGTTTGGCTCCAGATGTTTTCATGTTAACCAGAACAAAAAAATGATTTTGCTTTTTTTCTTCCAGGTGAATCTTCCTAGGGCGGTTGTCATTGCCATTTCTCTGGTGACTGGCTTATATCTGCTGGTGAATGTGAGCTACCTGACAGTAATGACACCTAGAGAGCTCATGTCCTCCAGCGCAGTAGCAGTAACCTGGGGGTAAGACCGCACCTGATGTCAATGTCACAGATTCAGGTAGACAGGTCCACACTGACTGTTTAAATTGGTGTGTCTGGTGTTAAAATTGCTCATTTTAAATAGTACTCCACTGATTTACCACTCCTACAACACTGTGGAAAAAAAGTATTAAAAAACGGATGCAGCAGAACGAGATACATTGTCTTTTTATTTTCACGACTTCTTCTTCCTTGTAAAAACCTGCCGTCCACATTAACCACAGTGCAACTCTACCACTTACAATTCCGGCTGAGATTCTGGTGTGTTATGAAAGCAGCAGCTAATGTAGCCTCTAGCCTCAGGCAGAGATGAGGAGTGGGCTATAGAGGGTCTGGAAACCTCTCTTCTCACACCCCCAAATGTTTTTCAGTTGAAAACTTCTAGTCTTCAGGCCCAACTGACACTGCCTCAAGCACATTTACATATGCAGTAGTATTCCTCAAGACCCATAATCAGACTTGGATGTGTAAAAGAAAATACTTTTAATTACCTCTGTCATTGACCTGGAGGAAAAGCACATCAGCAGTGCACTCAACACTGCATTGACATGAGCACAGTTAGTTCAGACATCACTAATGACCTTTAGAGCAGTAAAAATAATAAAATAATGTACCCAGGCTCTATGATATACTTTCTACTAAATTGGAAATGATGCCGAGCTCTTGTGGGAACTTTAACCTTTTTCCACAGGAATAAGGTGCTAGGAAGCTGGGGCTGGATCATGTCTGTGGCTGCAGCATTGTCTGCTTTTGGTTCACTGAACGGGACATTCTTCAGTGGTGGCCGTGTGTGCTTTGTTGCTGCCAGGGAGGGACACATGGTGAGAATCCCTCTACATTATGAACATATGTTAGATTGTTGAGATAGTTGTCACAGAGTTTCACTCAGACTTGGGTTTGTTTTGTAGCCAGATATACTGGCCATGGCTCATGTCAACAGACTGACTCCATCTCCAGCCCTGATCTTCACCACTCTTGTCTCTCTGGTAGTGCTGATCCCCGGAGACTTCCAGAGTATTGTCAACTTCTTCAGGTGAAAACTGGATCTGCTTTGTATATATTTAATATTTCTACTTTATTATTCAAATGTACAGCCTGTTTGTATTTGTCTGACATTCCTCTTAATTGCTGCTGTCAGTTTCACTGCCTGGTTTTTCTACGCCATCACCCTATCTGGACTTATCTACCTTAAGATTAAGAAGCCGGAGCTCCCCAGGCCGTACAAGGTCAGTGTCACACACTCACACATGCATAAACACTGTCTGTCTTTTTTTTAATCACAGGATGACAATCAGCTTGTCTCTTCCTCTCTCCACAGGTTCCCATTATACTCCCCATACTGGTCCTCATTGCAGCAATTTTCCTTGTGCTGGCACCAATCATAGACGATCCTCAGATCGAATACCTCTATGTGACTTTATTTATATTAAGTGGAGCTATAGTCTACGTACCCTTCATCCATTACAAGCTCTGCCCAGGACTGCTCACCAAGTTAACAGTGTTCCTGCAGCTGTTCCTAGAGGTCGCCCCGGCTGAGAAGAATCTGTAATTCGGGCAGAAAATTTCAGAAGAGGTGTTTTTCCAATGTTATTGTTGTGCATTTTAACTCAACCTGCTGTTGCTATGACCAAAAGTGAAAGTCTGTCACTTGCAGCTCCAAGAACTAAAGAACCAAACCGTAGCATCCTTTGTCTTTAAACAGTTACTCTTTTAATTACTGTCTTACAGTGCTAAAGAACTGTATGTGATGAAATTGTAATAAAATTATGCATCCACCACTGTGCTTCAGAAAACTGTACAAAAATAAAACAAGGCTTGTTTCTCAACAACTATTGGATGGACATTTATGTCTCCCTCAGAATGATTTGTAATAATTTTGGTAATCAATTAACCTTTCATCTTGCACCATCAACAGGTAAAAACTTCTATTCGTCCAATGTTTGGCTTTATGACCAAATGCATACAAAACCAATGACATTCCCATCAGCCTCAGATGTACTTTGTGTTTAATGCTGATTAGCAAATGTAGCATGCTAGCATCCAAAACTAAGATGGTGAACATGGTAAACATTACACCTGCTAAACATCCACATTAGCGTGTTTACCTTAGCATTTAGCTCAAGTAAACCCTCACAGACTATAGACTTCTGTTAGTTAGCAGGTCATCTGGGCTACAAGATCCTTAATAAGACATTCTGAAATAAACACTCATACAGATTATGTGAATTTAAAAAAAGTTTATTAAATAATTATTATCCACCAAAAGGATAAAACAAGACATGGCCAACTTTAGTGCAACTTTTACATGACAAAAGATTGTTCAACACAAAACAGGAAAGAGCAGGGAAGGGAGAGGTGTGTGAGTGTGTATATAATGTACAGTGTATGCATACACAGGCCAAATTTCTGTATGACAGTTATCATACAGTCAATCTAGTCTTGTCTGGTGACACGATTGTTTTTTGTTTGTTCAGCATCACTATTCTGTTACCTAACAAATAGATTCTTTGCTTATTTTTTTAAGTAATTCTTTTTGCAAGCTTGGGGCTCTCAATACCTGCTGATCCAAATAAGACATGGAAAGAAGATGAGCTGCTTTGACAAGTAAAATACGTAGTGTTGAAATAACTTGCCCTTAATAACAGGTTCCCAGTTAACCAACACAGTCCAAAAACATGAAGGTTTTTTTTAAGTTTAAGTGTGTAATTTGTGTGTGTGTCTGTGTGTGTGTTCAAGAGTCATTTTGTCAAACTCCAGTTGAAGAATCACTCAGCTCCAGTTTTCCTCTCTGTTCCGTTAGAAGCGTTCGACTGGCTTTCAGATGCATCGGCACAGCTCTGCTCCCCTGACCCACTCCCGCCCTCTTGTGTTGACTGGTGGTACAGCATGTGAAGTCGCTCTGCGTTCATGTCTGCGTCCTCTGCCCCCTCGCAGCACCTTATCCACGACTGAGGAATAACCTCGATGCCATAGTGGGCCCCAGCGATGGCCCCTGCCATGCAGGCTATGGTGTCCGTGTCCCCTCCCAGGGCCAGGCTGTACGCTATTGTCCTCTCCACGCCGCCATAGTTCTCTGGAAGGCATTCCCGGGGCTGCAGGCAGTGGAGGACGCAGAAGATGGCAGTGGGCACTGAGTGGAGCGCCGCTATGCCGTTACCTAGAAGGAAAGAATGTTGAGTGATAAGAAAAGAAGTGAGAAAAACAAACTGGAGTGAAAGCTGGCAGATAGGAATACGAGCTGCTCGCAATGCAAAAATGTTAAATAAATATAGCTAGGTTAAATGATGCTGCGACGCCTTATTGGCACAGTCCATTTACTCTGTCTAAATAAAACTTATTGGCTAAGATCTTTCATTTAACAAGAGCAGCAAACTATTTTAATAATCTAATAATCATTTAAGTGACTTCTATGAGTTAATTCACTGGTTCAAGCTTCTCAAATAAAATTTAAAAAATAATGTAATTGGAAACTGGCAATGGAGGGACAGAAGGATGTTCAACGACAAGCCTCGTAAAAACAGAAGAGAAATCACGATAAAGTCAAAGATAAAACAAGTACTGACCCAGTTCAGAAATGACCTCCTCTATGCTGACCTTGCTCCTGTCCATCAGGTCTCTAACTCTGTGGAGGCGCTCACAGAATGGCTTCTCTGCTTCCTTTAGGCTGGACAGAAACACCATGTTAAAAGAAAATTAATTCATTTATGTATGTCTTTATAAATCTTTCAAAGTTTCCTGACAATGAACTCCAAATGTCAGATAACATTTCTGACGTACTGATGTACTCACATTCTGGCATCATTGCGTGCTGCCTCGTTGCCCTCCACTTCCTCCATCTCTGTGATTAGCTTGCTGATGAACTGCTGAGGCAGGTCTAGCGCCCCCTGCAGGGAGAGGTGCACAGCTAACGCCTGCAGCACAGCCCCGTTGTAACCCAGAGAGCAGGAGTGGGTCAGCATGGCACCCAGACGGGCAAACTGCAGAGAAAAATAAGGAAAAGAAGTCAGTGCATCTTGCAATGCCACCCTGTGTGTTTCACTGTCATAATTAAGACACTGAATGTGAAGGTAAACATGGTTTTCAGCCAGATATTTTAATAAACGTTATTGTTAGTGATAGTGTTAGTTATCTTTATCTGCCATCGTGGCTGCGCTCATGAGGCAAATGTCTGCACACACATCTGCAGGCAGCCTTGTCAATGTGGCTGTTGTGGATGTCAGTGCTTCCCTTGTGAGTTTTGTGAATGTGAAGTTAGTTTGGAGCCCTGTACTGTAACTCTGATGCATCCTGCTTTAAATGTTTGCCCTAAATTCCTCAGTCACCATTATATTTACTAAATCTTAACACGCTTCTCCTAAATGATAGAAAAACTCATCTAAATTTGTCAGTGGTAGTGTTAAATATTTATTGTGTTAATGTATAAGAATAACGCAGTGAAATGACTGTAGCCCGCTCCCTCTCTAAATCTACAGCATAACCCAATGTATTTTAAAGCAACATCTTACTAGCCAAAATAACATGTATATTAGCATGACATAATGCAAGTATTATAATTATATTTACAACGACAATAAAAGCCTTAAGTGCTGACAGTGTCACATGTCACAGTGTGTCTAGACACTGCTCTGTACATGACACTACTGGCTGAATACATTACTATATCACAAAGTGTTTTAATTACTACAGAGGTGACTCGAGTCACATACTGTAATTTGAACTCAAATCTGACTTCCATCACTTTATTTATTTGAGACTTGATTTATGAAGACAATTCCTTTGTGTTTACTTGTGATCTGAGTTAGCATAAAGGTTACCATCTCACAGACCCATGAAGAAATACGGTACTGAAGTTAGTTCGTGTGTGTCAAATAGCCAGTTAGGACTCAAAGTTTACTTGAGCACACAACAAATTAAACTTTTGGAAGTGGAATTTGTAATTATTTTCTGTGTCCCATACCTCTGTTTAAACCTGTTCAACTTGTAATAATGCTGTGTAAAATACAAATTAAGCCTTCTCACTTAGTTACAAACAGCACATTTAAACTTCTAGGTCAGAAGATGTGCAGGTGAAAGAGCAGGAAACAGAACAAACATGCCCATGTTTTGGCCTAAAGGATGCCCACTGCTCACCCTTCTAACATTCGCCATATCAGGGAAAGCCAGTGCGAAGGGGGCCGCCCTCATGGCTCCCCCGTTCCCAAAGGAGCCTCGACCATTAAACTGGTCCCTGGCCGGCTGGTACACGTCACTGAGCTGAGGGGAGGACAGCTTCTTCAGCACCTGGATCACTCCAGAACCATAACCACGGCCTGGGGATGCACTGTACTCCTTAGCAAACCTAGAGGGGTGAGACACCAAGGCTTCGATGTAATGTAGCACACATTACATCTATTTCACAAGCCTTTGCAACTATATTTATACCATAATACACTCAAATTCTGCAGAGAAGCCATTCGTTTCAGCAGTGTGCATTCACGTACCTGCGAGCCATGTCCTGCTCATCAAAGCCGGCACGGGTGAGTAGAGACTGGACCACACAACGTGCCATTGCTGTGTCGTCACTGTACTCCAGGATGCCTGACACACACACAGACACAGAGATATATAAACACTGCATGGTGCACAAAAACACCTTGCATCACATACCAGCATTACTGGTATTTCCGCACTGTCTATAAATGAGCACAACTAAATGAGTGTTATTAGTGCAGCTGCCATTTTAGTAGTCCAGAAGAAATCACTCATTTTGTGACTTGTCAAGTAAAATGTGTTGGCCCTATTCTGGTGCAAATTGGTTTTATTAGTTTTATATTGAATCATTTGAGTTTCTGGGGACATCACTTTGGGCTCAGATTACCCGTTACTGGTGGCAATTTCCTATTATTTTGACATGTTGCAGTAATTGGTTGAAGAATGACGCATGCTGTTCTTTAAATTGGTGTTGGTTATCTACAATGTGACTCTCTGATGACCATTGCCCCAGTTTAATATCAGGCATCTGAGTAATGGCAGCCTTGTGCAGCATTCACAATCCTACTGGATGAACTGAAGCTCTTCTGCAGAGGGTTGGTTAGGTTGGGGCTTAGCGAAGAGCCATGTATCCACTGCTATCTGAATATATAAATCTCATCCTTTCACTCACCATTCCCTTTGGTCTCGTCGTCCAGGCTGTTCAGGTGCTGCAGCACACTCTCCATAGGAACCTCCTCCGCTCCTTCAAACTCTCCGCCGACACAGTCTCCCAGCACAGCCGCCACCAGCGCTCCCCTGAACCGGGACAAAGACGCTGGGCCCCCCGCTGCCACCGCTCTCACCGCCGTCATTGCCATTCATCCGCCGGTGAAGAGACGTCGACCTACACCGAGAAAACACTCCGCTGGTCCGTTGACCAGACTGTCAGACAGACAGGGAGTGGATACTGCCGAAGTGACAACAACAACAACTGTCTACTCCCACCTCTCCACTGGTTCCTGAAAACGTCTTGATGCCTGTTTGACCCCGATGAAAGGTCCGGGTCGGCGCACATAGACATACGCGCACATAGAGCGGGCTTCCGTTGAAAGACAGGCTGCGGTTTATCTGTTTCTATACGACGACACACACGGGTTACCGAAATGGATATAATAAATGCGACACCTTGTAAAAGAAAGAAAAGAAAAGGTAATTACCGGAACCTTATTGTTAAAGTTTTAAACGGGACCTCAGTAGCTGTGTTTTGTGTCCACTTGTTTTCTGTTCTTATCGAGGAGCTCACTCATCTCACACACGCTTTAAGATTTAGGTTTACTCATATACAGAGACATTAATGGCTCTGGGCATATACAATGAGTTTTACGGTACAGCCATACAGTTGTAAACACCGCCCACTGCTGGACAGGAGCTCGGAGCCGGACAGGATAAGGTTTCTCACCACAGATTTTGATTTAACAGTAATTAATTACATAGACAAAGGATGTAGAATAATGAAAGTGAAGACAAACTACAAGATAGTGTATAAAAAAAACACGTGTCACCAATGATACTAATTAAGGTTCTGGTCCATTCAGGTCCAACAGAGTCAGGGTGCCGCTGCTATTATGAATGTTGGTTCACTGAAAAGGCTCTGCTACACTAAACGGAACGAAACCTTAATTAGTATCAATGGTAACACCCGTGTTTAACCTATTTCATGTCAAAATGGCTGCCATAAAAAAGGGTCTGTTGTACACTATTGTGCAATTTGTGTAACATGTTACAGAACGGAAGTCAGAGCACAATGTGGTAGCTGGGTAACTATTCTTAAACATTTAGTTATGTACTATCAATTATTATGTACGGTGTTAACTAAAGGCAGAATGTGGGAAAGGTACACGGAGGGTATATTGTGTTTGTTGTAAAGCATAGAGCAACTATAACACAATAAGACTCATTTATCTTCAAGCACAGAAACTGTTTGATGGTCACTCCGAGCTGGGATTACCGTATTGACCATAATATAGCACCGTATAATTATATACAATAATATATAATTATATTATTGTCCGGAAATCAAACGGCGAGGTACGCGGTCATTGGAGGACTTGGACAGTAAATGTTGTGTTATTACCCTTTTACAACAGAAAACCACGCTTGCACAACACGCTTGTGTTTATTATATGCAAACTACCAGCTACAGTGTCAGGAAAAGAGAAAAGCTATCCAAGAATACGGTAATGTTATATCTTCTTCGTTGTCGTTTTATGAAATGGGCGATGGGGGGAAATAGTTTCTTCCTTTCCTTCATAAAGTATATCCGAAACCGTGTAGGGGTCGCTTTGTGCACACAGTACGAACACCCTACCTGTCCTGTGTGTGTTTTTAAATTGAGTTCACAGCAGCATGTTAATGTGGCTGTCTGCTCGCACTCGTAACCTTTGACCTCAGAAGTGGGTGGGTGGGTGTTTGGGAGCGCGGCGTCTGCAGCATAATTAAAACATGGCGGACTCGGAGGAATTTAGACTTAAACGATTAAAGGTAAGGAATACACAGCGCGAATATAATCACAGCAACAATCGGACGACACGCTGAATTGATGAGCTTGTTCAGCAACATGTTAGGACAGTTAGTTATCGTGGACTAGCTTCCGGTCGAGATGTGCATATTTAGGCTAATGTTAGCTAGCTAGCTCACAACCCTGAGCACTGATGCCACAACGCTAAACTCCATTTAACACCTTGACCATTAGATAATAGATAAAAGGACACATTATACGCATTGTGGCTCCGGTCCTCTTGTGAAGCCCAGAAGCTTTTATTAATCTAACCATGCAGTTTGTAATGTAGTTGATTGTTGGTTCCACAAAGCCACTGCCCCATCGTGGAGGGCTGCTGCGAACAATACAAAAGTCCAGATTTTATTGAAGTTAAGTGTCACAGTGTCACTTGAATGCTCTGTGTAAGAGAAGGCTCCAGCAACTACTACAGTGTCTCAGTGGGTTGGTTTGTGCGTGAGTCTGTATACATTGACAAACATGCCAGAAGGTAATATGCTGCTGAATTTAAATTGAGTTTGGGGCGCCCCCTCCATACAACTGATCCTACGGTATGAGGCCTGCAGCCATAATCTATAGCAAGACATTGACAACAACAACAAGTCTGGTATTGCTAAATCCCTAAAACGTTGACATGAAGATGAGGTTAAACTCAGGGAGGCTATATTGTTGTTTGATGAGATTGTGAGGGGTGTCGATCCTCATGTCATGTATAATCTCATTATAACAGTAGAATTGGTCAAATAAAAACAAAGAGCCAACATTATATCTTCCCAACTCACCAAATTCAAATACACCACCTACTAACAGTAGACTGTGGTGACTGTTGGGCTTGTTTCGGTCACTGCTGTGTTATTATTCTGTTATTATGTCACTGTGGGAAGGTGATAGGTAATGCGGAAATTTGGCTTTCCAACCAATAGTAATGGAAGTGGATTTGTTGCTGGAGGCAGACTGTGTACAGTAAGGACAGCTGCTGGGTAGATGGAGTCAAGTCTAGTGGATGAAGACAGAGCTGCAATGTTTTTGCAGCAGTAGTTGGAGCAATAGACTTTTTTGTGGGAGGCATTTTGATATGTGATAACAAGAAATGCACAGTTAATAACACCAAAGAAGGCTGTATTTCATTCAGGTGACCCACCTACAGGGCCCTGGTATTCTGCATGCTGTCTTACTGGCATGACCTTTAAATGGAAGAACCATTATTTATGTTATTAGTTCTAACTGTGACAAGATACATATAAGATAAAGGTCTATATTGAATGCAACTGTTACTGTTGCATGTAACCACCATAGATGCATCAATACAATATCTTTCACTGCTTAAAGGGGAACTTGGCAACTTTTTCAGCTTAATAAACCCGTTTAGAAATCATTTGGATGGTTAAATGGCCTGTTCCGGTGAAAATGGTGATACAAACTTAAATGTACAAGTGGGGAATATGATAGGCAACATGAATATCACTGTCTGAATGGTGCAGTGGTCTAATCAAGAGGAACAGATAATTAATGTGTTTAATTTGCTCTCTGGGACCAGAAGCATCTACTAGTTGCACTTAAAAATTGTGGGGGAGACTTGGACATGTACGTACAAGTCAGATTGTGAGATAGGAATTGCTCTACACAAAATTAATGAAATGATGAAGTAGAAAGTTGCAAAGTAATGCACAGTAAAAGCCATTTACTTTAATGTGTGCTTCTGTGTTATATTTTTTCCACACTGGTTATCTGAATTTGCAGCGTCTTTCTCTTTTCCTCTGTATGTATGTTTGAGTGTTTCCATTGCACAGTCAAATGTTACATTACAGTTATTTATGGATGTTGGTCATTCAGAATAATGAAATGCAGTCATTGGTCACACAGTGATATTAAATACAAATATAAGACACAAAGACTATAACAGACTTTAACTTCTTGTACAGTTTTGTATATCTTATTAGTTGTGATTTTTGAACACTTAATCGTTGTTAAACTGAATGACATTGGTAAAATTCTCTGAAACATCTTAAAAGTTATCAGCATTATTCTTGAAACCCAGCATTAAATGAGCAAAGGTAATCTAAGTTTTAAAATTAAATGTTTTTATATTTTCAGAACCATATCTGTCTTTGACCTGTGTATTTATAGTTAGGCTAAAAGTTTCTCAATAATGAATGAGGATTTTATTTTTTAAGGGCTAAGTTTAACAAGCAAGAAAAGAGGTTTAGAGCACACCATTCCCTGAGTATTAAACATGTATTTGCCCCTTGAAATCTCTTTTCAACTAACCTTTTTGTCCCTTACAGCATGAGGAGCGACTGTCCAGAGTGTTTGACGAAGTGATGGGGCTTGGAGATTTTGCTGACTCCTCCAGGGGCTCTGCCACGTCTTCCAGGAGCGGTGGTCAAGACGAGACAAAGGAAGCAGACAAAACTTCAGGACCAGGGGAAGACCAGCAGATAGAAGAAGAGCATAGCAACGGCAGCAGACAAGAAGAAAAGATGGATGAAGGGATGGGAGAGCCATCCTTTCCTCGCATATCATCCCCTTCCTCTGACCGACACTCCTCGTTTACCATGGGAACCAATGAAGGAGGAGGACGAGGTGGACGAAGTGGAGGGGCAGCATTTGATGATGCAGTGGATGGCCTGGAAGATGATGAAGACTGGCACTTTGCCCTGCCAATGGGCAGCCTGGAGGGCGTGGGTAAGGGAAACAAAAAACAGCCAGAAGCAGGGAACAGTGTAACTCAAGAGGATCCTTTTGCTCATCAGCCCAGAGAGGAAGAGGAGGAACCAGAAAGGGAAGGGAGCAGTGAGTCTGCTAACACCTCCCACTCCTCCCAGGACCACACACCTGACAACAGCCAAGGTAATGCTGCGTACACATCCAAAGTTTGATGATTGTCAAGGACCAGATTGATCAGCAGTGTCTATTCACTGCATTGTATCACAATATCTTCACAGGGCCCTGACACACATTAAAGGGACACATCCCCAATTTAACACTTCAAGTTCAGTTAATTTGGGAAACAGTTGTACACTGTCCTCTGCGGCTCTGGAAGCTGCTTCCCAAAGTCTCAGAAGATAACCCTGACGATGTCATAGTGATGTCCTCAGGGTTTTAGGGCTTGGGTTCAGAGACTTCACATTTTTATCAGAAAGCCTTTATCACAAACTAGGGATGTGGATTTTCAAAGAAATGGGCATTTGAAAACCCCACTGACTCGCATTATGTGATTATACAGTGAATTTACCCATTATGTGTGACAGAACCAGTTGCAAAATTCAATGACAAAAATTGC